GGGAGCGGAGTGCGATAGCGCGGGACAGAGACGGCGTGCACGGACAGGATCCGCTGAGCTCAGGCTGTGCGTCCGGCGCGTGCGCGTCACTTGCAGCCGACGGGGCACACAGGACGTGGGGGGAACGGACGCTGGTCGAGGTCTTCGCCATTCCCTGCGGCCTCCGTCTCCTGCGTCTGAAACCCACTCGTCCGGCGGCGCGCTCGCGGTGCGCGCGCTCTGGCTGGCTGCCGGTCGTCGTTTCCTTGACACCGGTAGGATGTTGCCTAGGGCCCGTCGTCCTTCGCATGCGCATGCGCCATTGCCCACGGTCAGTGCTGCATCTCTTGCTCCCGCGTCGTCACTCACCTTGCTCGCGCGTGGCGTCCATAGGTCCTCCGCCGTGCGCGCGGCCGCGTCGACGCTGTCCTCGCGAGCCTTGCCGTCGACAGCGGCTGCCCCGGGGGACGTGGAGCGTGAGCGCGAGCGCGGGCGCGGCGAATCCTGGGTCGTCGCACGGCGCATGGTGCATGGCGCGCTGCTGACCGCGACGTCTTCCGCGGGCCCTGCGCACGGACCGGTGAGCCATCGTCCCGAAGTCTGGCTGCGCGCGCACTCACCGTTGCCCTGCAGACAGCAACGCGGTTCTAGCGTCGCGCCCCATCGAGCGCGTTCTGCTGCACGACCGGCCGTTTCGCGCAATGGCGCGAGAGCCGTCTGCATGAGAGCGCGCGGACCGCAAGAAGTGAGTACATACCGACGGGGTGGACAAAGGCCTCCTGGCGTGCGGACGAGCTCGCACATGCGGTCTATAAGACGCGGGAGGCTGCGCGTGGTCGTGGGCGGCGAGGGTGATGGTGAGGACGAGGAGACAGAGGACGACTCACGGGAGGGACATGCTTGCGGGCAGGGCTGGTAGCTGGCAGCGCGGGCGAGCGAGCGCGGACTGCGCGCGGACGTTGCGGGCGGGGGCAATGGCAAGGAGGAGGGGATGAGTTGCGTGAGGGACGCGTGCGCTCAATCTGCGAGCGGACGCTCACAGTGCGATGAGAGCAGCCAGGAGCAGAGGTTGAGAAGGAAGAAGAGGCAGGTGGTGTCGAAAGCGCGCAAGCGCTATGTCGCTGAGCTCGCATCAGGCGTCGGCGGGTCTGTGTGCTGGAGACGTGCGGGGCGGCGGGGTGCGGCGCGTACATTGCGGGTCTTCGGACTCGATTGAGGCGTACAAGATGCCTTGCATGGGGCCGGCTGGCAGTGGAATGAGAGACGGCGCAGGACAGAAATGGTATGCACAGACAGGATTGTCCGAGATCAGGCTGAGCGGCGACCGGCGTAGTCTAACAGCGCAGGCGATGTGTGGAGCCGAGGGGGTGCGCAGGAGGCTGGAGGAAAGGGGCGCTGCCTAGAGCCAGTTGCGCGCACGCGATGAGAGAGAGGCTGAAGGCGATCGGGCAGAGTGACGGTCTTGCACACGAGAGCGGCAGAGAACGAGGACGGCCAGACGCGAACGAGAGCCAGGGCGGACAGCGGGGATGCGAGATGCCACTGCGCTGACGTCTAGACAAGCGCCGACGATCCCTGGCGAGTGGCATTGACGAGAGCGCTGTCATTGGCCGCGGCGAGACAGGAGCGAGCTTGAGGCGAGGGCAGCGCATTCGATCGCGAGCGGGCGCAGGGCGTTCGAACGTGCGGGCGCCTTTCCATTGCATGGCGAGCTCCTGATCGAGAATCGAGATCTCTCTTTACGGCGACGTGCGTCAACTCCCCGGGCCATGTAGAGCTGCCGTTCCTGGCTTCTATGCCGTCCCACGCCCTCTCTGCAAAGGCTTTGCCAGCGGATGCCTTTGCATAACGTCACTTTGAACGATGGCAACAAGGCGCGTTCAAACCCGTCAGCCACCCACGGATTGACCTTCACGACCATGTATTAGATGCCGCAGATCGCGTTTGGTACCGGCTCAAAGTGGAAGGGCCAGGTACGGCGTCCAAACTTCATGGCTCTGCAGCCCCTGACCCATCTGCTTAGGATGTCACGGACTATGTAACGAACGCCATAGAGACCGGCTTTTCTCACATAGACACTGCACAGTGTGAGTGCTCCCCGGTCAGGCTGCAGCGTAATGGGCGTTGCTTACAAAGCACAGTCTATGCCAACGAGGAGAGTGTCGCGGCCGCTATCCGTGAGACTGGACTTGACCGCTCCGACGTGTTCATCACGACAAAGTGGTCGAGCCAGGCAGGTGTGCGGGATTCGCTCGAGAGAAGCTTGGCCAAGGCAAGTTGGGACCCAAGCTCTTCGTACCTATCTCATCAGCGCAACAGCTTGAGCTCACACAAGTCGACCTGTATCTGATTCATAACCCTGCCCTCGCGAAGGACTATGAGTCTGACTGGCGCGACTTTGAAGCAGTCAGAGAGGCCGGGTTGACCAAGTACGCTCCTTGCGCATCTAACAATATTCATACTGAACACATTGTGCCCCGGTAGGAGCATCGGCGTTAGCAATTTCAATCTAGAGCAAATGCAGAAGCTCTGGAAGATAGCCAAGGTCAAGCCTGCCGCGAACCAGGTTTGTCTCTCCGCACATCTCCCTCGATGGCTGCTAAGCAAACTCGACTGCCAGATACAATTCCACCCCTACAACTACGCGGGAACTAAGGACCTGCTCGCGTTCTGCCAGCAGCACGGTGTTGTCGTCGAGGCCTACAGCAGTCTTAGGTCAGAAACTATCGCCAAAGCCTGTTATAGATGCTGACCACCACTCGTGCAGTCCGATCACAAGATACCCGGGCGGTCCAGTAGACAGGCCAGTCAATGCCGCGGCGAAGAGACTCGGTGCGACCGCCACCCAGGTCATTCTCTCCTGGGTCAAAGCCAAGGGTGTGGTCATTGTCACGTAAGCCGCGGGCGTCGACGCTCTTTCTCAAGCGCTGAGTACGTCCTTCAGCACGAGCTCCAGTCGGGAACACATGCAAGAATACCTCGATGTCGGCGATCTGCGTGAGTTGATCGCAGTGTCTTACTCCCCAGAAGCTCACGCCATGCCTGACAGCCGCATTGACCGAGGACGAGATTGCCGCTATCGATGCTGCAGGGGCTCGAGGGCCGCCATCGTCTGCCCACCGCCGCATTAGGGACGCAGCCATCCTCCTTTCCACCACAGCGCTTCTAGGCTGGAGGCTGTACCGGTTCCTTCACTGAGAGGGGGCGTGTATCGTGATCCAAGCCGGGTCGAGGTCTGTAGGCTCGTAGTAGCTTATGCTACACAGTGCAAATGCGCATTTACCCCTGTGATTGTTGTATGCAAACGTGCGAGTGCATTTGTATGCCTGTTCCTGCGCACATGCTGTCATTGGCCACCGTCGGCGCGTCTCCCCGAGAACGTCAGCCTCCCAGTGGCTATCCCTATGTGTTTGGTACTTGTATCTGAATATATAACACTGCGGATTATATGCCCGAGTGAACGACCGCGATGACATGACAAAGCAACAGCGCCCGCGGGGTATATGTACAACGACAGATGGCGAAGGCACGGGTGATGGCCGGTTCCCACGGAAATGGGTCCAGGATCTGTGCTATATTGGCGAGCGCTGACCGGAGACGGTGGCCCATAAGCGTGCGAGAAGTGACCGGATGAAATTCGAGAGATACGCCAAGTGCAGAGTAATAGAGCACAGTGGAGAGTAGCGGGCGAGGGAATAGAGTGCAGTAAGTAAATATATTGCATAGTCTACTACAGCCTCGTTACATACATATCCCGGGCCCTGTGCGTCGAGCCCATCTCGCCCATCGCACCCGTCTCGCCCATCGCGCCCGTCGTCGAAGCCGCCGCCGCTGTCTCCCGCTCAGTCCTTCCACTGTCTGCCGCTGAACAGAATATCTGCGGAAGCGCCTTCGACCGCAGCTCTGCGGTCCCCGGTCTGCTCGAAAGGCTCCTGGGCAGACAGACGCACCAACCGGGATGTCAAGGTGACATTTTGCCCACGCACGGATTTCAAGAGCAGCTGTCTGCGCGAGTGAGGGTCGAGCTTCAAACTTGTGCAGCGCGGGGATGCTCAGAAACGCGGAAGGCAGTTTGCTGCCGCGAGCGAGTCTCGGTCAACGGCGGTAGACGTCTTGCGTGCATGGCGGGAGATTTGCGACGGTCGGGTTGGACCGCATGCGGGCGGCCGTGTGCACGTCAGATTGTTCGGCTAAGCACCGAGTGGTTCAGACCTGCAGATTTGTGACCGGGTGAGCGTAAGTGCGCGACACTGCCATCCGTCTGAGAGATGTGCGCAACATATCAAATGAACAAACACGCACGACACTACCAACGCCGCGGCGGGAAGTGTCAGGCGTCGGGTACAGAGTACGTGAGGTGAAGCTTACCATACATAGTGTGTTCTGCAGCGCATTATGCGCGGGGGTGTCCACGACTGGTGAGCTTCTCGTCTTGGCTGCACAGCGCTGCAGCCGCGAACATGCAGGCTGCTCAGATCCCCGCGCGCCGACAACGCAAGTGCCGGGGGCAAGCCCTCGATTGATTGGCGATGTAGCTAGGGAGACGTAGACTGTCTCCGCACACCGCGCATCTGGTGGCTTTTTGCGCGCGGGCCCTACGCAGGGACGTGCGGTGTGCGGCATGCGACGGCCGAGCGGTGTGCCCTTGATCTACGAGTCCGCCGTGGGGCTTTGGCCACATATCTTGCAAATTGCCTGGCACCAGAGTGTGCTGCACGGCGGACGATCAGGGAGGGCAGCGCGCGAGCTCTGGCGTGTGCGCGACACCGTGTCCTTTTCGCGTTGCGTACCGCAGATGTGGTGCACGAAATCGGGGGACATGGCAGCGGGAGAGCGGCTGAGCAACGGGGGACCGAGGGGGGCAACGGAACACACGAGGGACGACAACACGATGTGGTCATGACTACTGACGGTTGAACATGCGCAGGGAGTTGGTGGCCGAACATTGAGCGCATGCGAGAGAGAGGACCGCGGCTGCGTCCTCCCGCCCGCTCCTATTGCGGCGACCAGAACGCGCATCGTCCACATCATTGCGGCGGGATAACCAGCGGCGGCACGCACAGACCAGATCTCCCCGCCGCTAGGATATGCGACCGACGTAGTTTGACTGCGCAGGCGTCGTGGGGTAAATTGACAGCTGCCGACAATGCACTCTCGTCGCCGCTCCGGATTTGGGGGCAGTTGTCTAGATGCCAGATTGTCGGCTGCCCGCGTGTCGTGCATGCCGCTCGGCGCTGTTCTTGTCGCCGTTGCCATATTCCGCCTTTTGCCTTATTTCCCGGCTGATGGTGTCTGACCGGGGACACAGCGCTAGCGCTGGAGCTTCGCGCCGGAGCACCCTGCGCGTTGCTCTGGCACCCGACACGATGCACATTGCTCGCCCTCAAAATCCAGCGGAGGTGCGAGCCGTAGCAGTGGCCAGCTCGCTAGAGCGCGTGGGGAGCTCGCGAGGGACATGCCGAGACGATGGCAGGCCAGCGTGTGTCGCAAAGGGGACGGCGTGTCGGATGCATCCATGGAGAGCCCAGACACCGATCAGGGAGTGCAGGGCAGCGTGAGCGACAGCAGCAGACACGCAAATGGCGCAAATATGAAGATGCGCACGCGCGGGCGCGGGGATGCTACGTGCGATGCGGATGTCGCCGTACTTACTGATAAGGGCGCCGGACGATATGCGGGTGTTGCGGCCGGCAGATCTGGAGGGAGCATACGTCGGTGAGTGCATGTGTCTACGTCAGGCAGAATGACCGCTCGCGTCTAGGCCCAGGCACACAGGCAAGGATGCAGGGAGCGTTGCCATCGGGCGAGTAGGAGCATAGCGACGCGGCGGCAGATGCGACACAAGGGCCGCGCCTGGGTGAGATATCCGGTCGGCAGACGTGGGAACGGAAGCAGGCCGGGGTCGCATGCGAGGTATTGAAGGCGGGGGCTCGTCTTGCGCTATGCCGTCATCCGCATGGTGTCCCACTCACTGTCTCGCTCGCCCGTCCCCGCCATATCGTGCTGCGCGCCTGGACGCTGGTCAGGTAAGCCGCTGTCGTGTCATAGAATGCCACTCACCGTGTACACCATTGCAGGTGCACCGCGGACCGTTCCCCTTCGCAGTGCGCAACAGCTGATCTCGCCGGATGGTCTAGATGACGGTTGGAGCGTACCGTGTACCGAGTGTGTGGGGTGAGTGGTGCGCGCATGTGATGATGGCGAGCTGACGGGACTGTTGGTGTCCAGGAGCGCGAGGGACCATGGCCGCAGCGCAGATTGAGCGAGGCGGGCGACCGGCGGTAGCTCGTTGAGATTCAGTAGTCCGCAGTCGCATGGAAACTGACGGCTGGCCGGTCAGAGCGTCGCGTCAACTGGTGAGCGACCGGCGATGATCGATCACCACGTAAATGCTTACCGCGACGTGCGATCTGTAGACGTCCGCGCCTCGCCTGATCGCTCGAGTCATCTCGCCATCCGCGCGGTGGTGTGGACTGTCCGCGTCCTCGTCGCCGCTCTGAAGGCACTAGCGGCGGGAGGACGCAGTCGCGAATAGGGGCCGTCGTCTAGATGCCGGGGCGTCGGGCTGCGAGCGGGGCGGGGCGTGCGGAACACGGGTGACGTGGGATGGCCGACGGTTAGATAGCGCGATGTGCGCATGAGTAGATAGTGACCGGGGCCGACGTACACAACAGGTAGTATGATTGGAGCGCGTGCATCGCAGATTCTCTGGTCCGATTGCCGCGCACGACATGTTTTGTAAGACGACGGCCGGCAGCAGAATCAGTGAGACAGCGCGGGACAGAGGCGGCACGCACGAAGGCGCCATTGGGTGTGCGTCCAGTGTAGTTTGATGGCGGGCACTGTGAGGCCGATTGACAGCTGCCAACGATGTGGACGATTCGCGCCCGACGACGACAATTAGATGTAGGCGGTGTCGAGGGCAGTTGTCTTGATGCCAGGTTGTCGCGCGGTGGGCGTAGCGGGCTGTTAGGGATATGAGCGAGGCGAGACCGTCAATAGAGACTGACCGGGGAATAAGGAGCGACCGGAGGTCGGGCGCATACTTACGTGAAGAGCCAAGACGCCGATCACGCAGGGGCAATCACGCGAATGGTGTGAATACGAAGATGCGCACGCGCACGTACGGGCACGGGCGCGGGTGCGGCATTGATTGTGCGGGAACGCTGTGTGCGACGCAGGCGTCGCCACCGTACTGACCAATAAGAGTACCGATTCCATTCAAGCTAGGTGTCTGCCGCGCAATCGTTGAGACGCGCCCGCTGAGATACCCGCTGTGTGAAGTAGCCAAGAGACGAGTCGGCGGGAGAGCACTTCTGGCAAGGACTGGATCCGCGCGCGCAAGCACCCCGGGTCTTCCGCTGGCTGAGGCGTCGGGCAGGTAGTTGCGTGCGGCCTTATTGCATCAACGTAGCAGCCGCGTGATTGTGAAGGGACCGCCGTTAGATACCCGCCGCGCGATGTGATTGGGAGAGGCCTCGTAACGACACGTTCATGCACAGTCACACGAGAGTGGGAAGACGGGGCTCACCTCGGCTGTGTGACAGAGCGCAGCGTGAGCGCAGCGACGCGGCGGCAGTTGCGACGCACCTGGATGAGATATCCAGACGGCAGTCGTGGGAACGGAACCAGGTCGGGGGAGCACACGAGGTATCAAAAGCGGGGAGGAGCGGCGTCGTCAGGGACTCCTCTGCTGCTTACGACTCACCTTCTGCTCTGCTGTCGCTCGTATTATGCCCCGCCTGCTGTCTCGCTCGCCCGGCGCGGCCACATACGTGCTGCGCGCCCGGACACTGGTCAGGTAAGCTGCCGTCGTGTTATAGAATGCCACTCACTGTGTACACCATTGCAGGTGCACTGCAAACCGTTTCCTTCCGCAGTGTGCACTAGCTGATCGTGGCAGACGGTCTGGACGATGGCGGGAGTGCTGGCGAGCTGACCGAGCTAACAGTGTCCAGCGCAAGGGACCGTTGCCGCAGCCGCGCAGACTGAGCAAGGCGGGCGACCGGCAGTAGCTCGTTGAGAATCAGTAGTCCGCGGTCGCGTGGACACTGACGGCTGGCCGGTCAGAGCGTCACGTCAACTGGTGAGCGACCGGCAATGATCGATCTCCATGTAGATGCTTACCGCGACGTGCGATCTGTAGACGTCCGTGCCTCGTCATATCGCTCGAGTCATCTCGCCATCCGCGCGGCAGTGCGGACCATCCGCGTCCTCGTCGCCGCTCTGAAGCACTGGTGGCGGGAGGACGCAGTTGCGAATAGGGGCCATAGTCTAGATGCCGGGGCGTCGGGCGGCGAGCAGGGCGTCGGGCGGCGAGCAGGGCGTCGGGCGGCGAGCGGGGCGGGGGGCGGCGAGCGGGGCGGGGCGTGCGGAACACGGGTGACACGGGATGACCAATGGCTAGATAGCGGGGCTGTATGTGAGTAGATAGCGACCGGGGATAACATGCGCGAAAGGTGAGTATGATCGGAGCGCGTGCATCGCGGATTCTCTATCCGATTGCCGTGCACGACATGTCTTGTAAGGTGACGGCCGGCGGCAGAATCAGTGAGATCGCACAGAACAGAGGCGGCACGCACGAAGGTGCCATTGGGTGTGCGTCCAGCATAGTTTGATGGCAGGCGCTGTGAGGCCGATCGACGGCTGCCGACGATGTGGACAATCTGCGCCCGACGACAACAATTAGATGTAGCCGCCGTCGCAGGCAGTCGTCTTGATGCCAGGTTGTCGCGCGGCAGGCGTAGCGAGCTGTTAGGAATATGAGTGAGGCGAGATCGTCAACAGAGACTGACCGGGGAATAAGGAGCAATCGGAGGTCAGGCGCATACTTACCTGAAGAGCCAAGACGCCGATCACACAGCGCGGGGCGACGCGAAGAACAGGGGCCATCACGCAAATGGTGTGAATACGAAAATGTGCACGCGCACGCATGGGCGCGGGCGCGGGTGCGGCATCGATTGTGCGGGGACGCTGTGTGCGACGCAGGCGTCGCCACCGTAGCGATAAGGGCGACGGACGATGTGGGGGCGTTGCGGCCGCTGGATCGGAAGGGTGCATACGTCGGGGAGTGTGTCCGTCCGCGTCAAGCAGAATGACCGCTCACGTTCGGGCCTAGGTACGCGGGCGGGAACGCGGGGGCGCTGCCGTCATGATTTTGGGCGAGTAGTCACCATTGAGCGACGCGGCAGCCGATGCGAGATGTCCGGGCGGCAGTCGTGGGAATGGCAACAGGCCGGGAAAGCGTGTGAGGGATTTAAAGGTGGACGTCGTCAGAGAATCCTGTGTGATTTGCGACTCGTCTTCCGCTCTGTTGTCGCTCGTACTGTGCCCCGCCCGCTATCTCGCTCGCCCGGCGTGGACACGTACGTGCTGTGCGCCCGGACACTGGTCAGGTAAGCCGCCGTCATTTTAAGGAGTGCTGCATCACGCCACTCACTGTGTACGCCACTGCAGCAGTCGACGTCGCCAGATGGTCAAGACGATGGCTGGAGCATACCACGTACCGAGTACGCGGGGTGAGTGATGCATGCATGCGTGCGGTGATGCCAACCTAACGGGGTTAATGGTGTCAATGAGGTCCAGGAGCGCGGAGGACCGTCGTCGCGGCTGAGCGGATTGAACGAGGCGGACGGTCGGTGGTAGACGTTTGGCCCGCGGCTGCGTAGATAATGACGGCCGGTCGGCCAGAACGTCGCGTCCTACATCCGCGCCGGATGGTAAGTGGCGGGCGATGATCTCTACATGCAAACGAAACGCTTACTACAATGTGCGATCTGTAGGCGTTCACGTCATCCCGCTGTGACGACGTGGACGATCCGCGTGCGCGTCCCCGGTCTGAAGCACTGGTAGCGGGAGGACGCCGTCGCGGGTGGGGGTCGTCATCTAGATGCCGGGACGTCGGGCTGCGAGCGGGGCGGGGCGTGCGGAACACGGGTGATGCGGGATGGCCGACGTTAGATAGCGGGACACGCGTGTGAGTAAATAGTGACCGGGGATGGTATGCACAAAAGGTGAGTACAGCAACGGCGCGTGCGTCGCGGACCATTTGCGGCGCGCGATATGTCGTGTAAGGGGACGGCTGGCAGCGGTATGAGTGAGACGGCGCGGGACAGAGGCGGCACGCACCAACTCGGTCTGCTGCCATCAAGTTGTGCGTGCGGCGTGGTTCGACGGCGCGGGCGGTGTGAGGTCAATCGATGGCGTCCGACGCCGCGGACGATTCGCGCCCTGGTTGCTGCTCTGAAGCACTGGCAGCGGCGGCGGTTGGATAGAAGCGCAGTGGGGTTGGTCGTTGGACGGCGGGCATAGTGAGCTGCTAGGGACCTGGAAAGAGGCGCGATTGTCAGCAGACAGGTAGCGGGAGGTGTACGCGTGTGAGTAGGGACTGACCGGGGAATAAGGAATGCTCGGCGTACCTGCGCGCAGTGTGTGCATCCAGTAAGAGGACGGGAGCGGAGTACGATGGCGCGGGACAGAGACGGCATGCACGGACAGGATCCGCTGAGATCAGGCTGTGCGTCCGGCGCGTGGGCGTCACTTGCAGCCGACGGGGTACACAAGACGTGGGGGGAACGGACGCTGGTCGAGGTCTTCGCCATTCCCTGCGGCCTCCGTCTCCTGCGTCTGAATCTCACTCGTCCGGCGGCGCGCTCGCAGTGCGCGCGCTCTGGCTGGCTGCCGGTCGTCGTTTCCTTGACACCGGTAGGATGTTGCCTAGGGCCTGTCGTCCGTCGCACGCGCACGTGCCATTGCCCACGGTCAGTGCTGCATCTCTTGCTCCCGCGTCGTCACTCACCTTGCTCGCGCGTGGCGTCCATAGGTCCTCCGCCGTGCGCGCGGCCGCGTCGACGATGTCCTCGCGAGCCTTGCCGTCAACAGCGGCTGCCCCGGGGGACGTGGAGCGTGAGCGCGAGCGCGGGCACGGCAAATCCTGGGTCATCGCACGGCGCATGGTGCATGGCGCGTTGCTGACCGCGACGTCTTCCGCGGGCCCTGCGCACGGACCGGTGAGCCATCGTCCCGCAGTCTGGCTGCGCGCGCACTCACCGTTGCCCTGCAGACAGCAACGCGGTTCTAGCGTCGCGCCCCATCGAGCGCGTTCTGCTGCACGACCGACCGTTTCGCGCAACGGCGCGAGAGCCGTCTGCATGAGAGCGCGCGGACGGCAAGAAGTGAGCACATACCAACGTCGTGGACACAGGCCTCCTGGCGTGCGGACGAGCTCGCACATGCGGTCTATAAGACGCGGGAGGCTGCGCGTGGTCATGGGCGGCGAGGGTGATGGTGAGGACGAGGAGACAGAGGACGACTCACGGGGGGGACATGCTTGCGGGCAGGGCTGGTGGCTGGCAGCGCGGGCGAGCGAGCGCGGACTGCGCGCGGACGTTGCGGGCAGGGGCAATGGCAAGAAGGAGGGGATGAGTTGTGTGAGGGACACGTGCGCTCAATCTGCGAGCGGACGCTCACAGTGCGATGAGAGCAGCCAGGAGCAGAGGTTGAGACGGAAGAACAGGCAGGTGGTGTCGAAAGCGCGCAAGCGCTATGTCGCTGAGCTCGCGTCAGGCGTCGGCGGGTCTGTGTACTGGAGACGTGCGGGGCGGCGGGGTGCGGCGCGTACATTGCGGGTCTTCGGACTCGATTGAGGCATACAAGATGCGTTGCATGGGGCCGGCTGGCAGTGGAATGAGAGACGGCGCAGGACAGAAATGGTACGCACAGACAGGATTGTCCGAGATCAGGCTGAGCGGCGACCGGCGTAGTCTAACAGCGCAGGCGAGGGGGTGCGCAGGAGGCTGGAGGAAAGGGGCGCTGCCTAGAGCCAGTTGCGCGCACGCGATGAGAGAGACGCTAAAGGCGATCGGGCAGAGTGACAGGCTTGCACACGAGAGCAACAGAGAACGAGGACGGCCAGACGCGCACGATAGCCAGGGCGGACAGCGGGGATGCGAGATGCCACTGCGCCGACGATCCCTGGCGAGTGGCATTGACGAGAGCGCTGTCGTTGGCCGCGGCGAGACAGGAGCGAGCTTGAGGCGAGGGCAGCGCATTCGATCGCGAGCGGGCGCAGGGCGTTCGAACGTGCGGGCGCCTTTCCATTGGATGGCGAGCTCCTGATCGAGAATCGAGATCTCTTTTTACGGCGACGTGCGTCAACTCCCCGGGCCATGTAGAGCTATCAGCGGGCCGCTCCTCGCTTCTATGCCGTCCCACGCCCTCTCTGCAAAGGCTTTGCCAGCGGATGCCTTTGCATAACGTCACTTTGAACGATGGCAAC